ATTCATTATATCTTTTATCATTATTTAAAACCTCAATTATAATGGTTTGTTCTTTGACTATCTTTACTATTCATTCTACTATTTATTGGAATTATATTGTAATTCCTTTTATTTTACTCTGTTGATTTGTCTTATTTTATTTTAGTGACTTTTATCCATTTCTATTTTATTAATAAATATTAATTTTATCAATTTATCATTTACAATTATCATTTGTTATGTATTCTTATTTATTTTATCTTCTTTATAAATACTTGTTCTTTTATGGTTTATTCACTTTTATTGATTATTTATTGTTTCAATAATTGATTTATTTCTTTATTTTTATTCTTCTTTTGTTTGTACCATTTTCATTTGTATTGTTGTTTATTTTCATTTTATTCTCAATTATTTCATTGTATTGATTTTATATTTTATTTTAGTTATTTTTATCATATATTCATTTATTAATTCATGTTTAATTTGTATCTTCTTATTTACGTTATAATTTATTATTATTATATGTTCATTTTCTTTTATAACAACAAATAATACATCATTTCAATTATCATTTAATGTAATTATTATTTTGTTTATTCCATACAAATGTGTTATTTTCTTTCATTAATTTCAATTATTTATATTCATTTCTTTTTATATTATCATTCTTCATTATTTTATTTTATTAATTTCTCATTATTTCATTATCATTATATTTTTTGATTATTTATTTCATTCAATTTCAATTTATTAATGTATTTATTATATTTATTCTATCATTATTTTATTAATGTAGATATGTTATTCTTATTTTGTATAATTTGATATATTTCACTTCAATCATTTGTATTATTTCTTTTATCACACAATTTATACACTCTCTTCAAGATTCCATTTATATTCAAATGTTGTTCTGATTAATTCAAATCATTCTTCATTATTATCTGTTTATTTCTTCATTTTGATATTCTATTTTTTATTTTCTTCATTTACATCATTTTTATATTAACATTAATTAAACACTCTAATTGAATTGTTTTAATTATTTTTATATTAAATGATTTTCTTTTTGTTATAAGTTTATTTGATAACAATAATTGTAATATATATTAAAATGCATGTGGTTATTGTTTTAATGAAATTGATAATACTGATTATTTATTTATTAAGAAATAAAATGAATAAAAGATTTAAATACACTCATTGAAACAAGTTTTAGTTTTCAGTTATAATGATATTGAATAAAAATATTTTGAAATAAAATTATAAATGAAGCTATTACCACTTTATTAACAATTAAAATTGGCATTTCGTTTGCTTCAATATTATATTTCTTTAATTTTCTATTTAAAATATACATTAATTAAGTTTTGGTAATATAATTCTCATATAATATAATTTAAAATATTCAAAGAAAATGATTATAAAGTTGTGATTTATAAAATGCTTTTTACTTCATTGACTTTCATTTTATTCTTTCCCGTATTTACCAAAATAATTTTTAAATGAACATTTCTATATTTTTCATTCTCTCTCAACAGTGTTTCAGTTTCAATAAGTTACATTAATAAAATAATATTATCAAAATGATACAATTGGTTATAGTATAGCAAATAATAC